AGGGAAAAGTGAGCCTGGAAACGAGTATCTAGTCACATCCCGTTGCTTTTTTGGTGTTTTGTTTAATAGTTGTTACTACTGCTTCGAGAGAACATTTTTTAAAAAAAAAAAAAGGCCAGTGCCCTCAAACCGTTCCCAGGCCATAACATGGAGTGTTAAGAATGGCGGGCATGAACGAACATGCCCAGATTTTGTGGATCTTTGAATGGAGATAAACTTTGGTCCAAAATTCCAGCATCAAGTGTTACTAGCTTAAGTGTGTAAAATAGAACTAAGTACTCGTTTCTTAGGACCAGCTTCCTATTTATTTGATATCAGGGACTGACTGAGTGTATGTGTGCGTGAACTGTTAGCAAATTGTTACTTTATTAGGGTATGGTAAAGCTTTTATACGGCAACATTGTTCAGTAGCATGCCCATCTGTTGGAGCCTGCTTTTCGGTGGGATGAAGTCACCCTACGTCACAGTGTTCCTGTTTAGACCAAGGCATAAACTTGAGTGTAAAGGTGTGTTTCGGAGCTTATTTTACACTATTGTCACTTCCTGAATGCTGTGTAACTGTATTCAACAATACTGGAAATAAGACAAAATTAATTGTAAGTGTAACTTGAATTACCTATTACCAACTTCTGTGTTGATGAAATTTAATTGTCTTTGTAATGTACTTGTTACCTCATAATGGTCTAAACAAATTCTTGTGATGTGGTAATTGGCTTCTTTCTCCGCCATGATACACCTGCCAGCCCTGATTGGCAGTGTGGTTATTTAAAACTTGTTTCTATAAATCTCCCTTTTTATTTTATTTTTTTGCAACAAGTTTGTGAGCAGTGCGCATGAGGGATGAGCACGTGTTCTGTTGTATGTAAGGTTTTGTATAATAATAATAATAATAATTAACTGGGTAGCTGGAGAAACCAAATAACTTTAATAAAAAAGTGCTGTTATGAATTGGGAGGGTATGTGTAAAAATAATGGAAATAAAACTGATCTGAGGGTTTTGTATGGTTCTGCTTTGAATTTGAAGTTCTTGTTAAATAATGTGTATTTTATATTATTGTCATCGGAGGAAAACAGAACATCCATTTTTGGTTTCGTGGCAGATCTAATGAAACAACTTGCGTATTACAAATATTAACCAGAATCAGTTTTTTAGTTTTGTCTTGATCTGACCTGTTGTAATTGTACGCGCTAGTACGCTCGTCGACCTGTGCCATTGCCAACTACTCACGCTTCTTCACTTTTATTATAAGTTCCTGTTATTGAGAAAGCTGATTAACAGATGTGCTGGACATAACTTATTCCTCTCCATTCACACTAGCGTGAATTTATCATCACAATTGTACTGGGTAGGTAAGAAGTCAACATGACCTCAAATCTTCCCTTTGATAAACTATATTTTGTAGTGTGTTCATTTGCCACTGGTGTTATCCTGATTCAAGCTTCATTTCTACTATTTCTAGATCTTATTCATAGAGGTAGTGGGATGCCTTAAGGGATCACAGGACAACACAAAAGAAAATGGACAAACACCTGTTATCTGGTCAAACTTCGAACTTGTGAATGCAGTGTGCAAGGAACTCTTTAATTGTACGCAGTTAACCGCACGGCCATCAGTACTGGCGAGAATGGTTTATTATGGTCATTATGATTATGTTATTGGGTTGAATAAAAACAGATTAAGAGAGGTTTGCTTTTATAAGGTGAAGCTGAATACTGCACATTTTGCATAATACATATGTTCTTCAGAATATATATCCTGTATTACTGTATGGCTGAATACTTTGAATTAAAAAATATACTTACACCTTCGTGGATGACATGTTTGAACCCTGAATTGGAGAAAATTTTAATTGAATGAAGGGAAGACCATAGAAAGTACATTATATATGGGGATGGCCTACTGCCATCACAGTCCTTGGTTCTTATTGTATGACATAAACTGCTCAAGTTGTGATATCAAATAAGATAGTAGGATGAATTATAAATTAGGTGGGATGTGGAAGACATTTGCCTGGAGGGATCAAGAAATATCATTAAAAGCCTTGATATGGTAGTCTGTCCGTGACTCGGGTGCTTGGTGTTGGAAACATTGCTGTGGTGAAAGCGCCTTGCACCCAGAGCCACACTGAAACGTGAAATCTGGCTGTGGCTAGTTTACATCTTTTTAATCAGGATATAGAGAAAGAAGAACACATTGGAGGTGTCTGTTCTTAATATAGCAGCGAATGTCCATCATGCTTGACTTTTAAGAGTGCACTGTTTGTGTGATGCAGAAAAAATTTAAATGAAATTGTGGTAGTACGGTCTGTGTTCGGTGGGAGATGGGCATTTGGTTTTGTGTTGATGTAGCCTTCGCTCTGCTAATGTGCAAAGACATCTGACCGTGTCAAAAGCACACCGATTAGCATAAAGCTTCAGATTTCTTACTGATATTTTCATTGTTCTGGAACATAAAACTAATTCCAGTTATGGCCCATTCATTTTAAGAAATGCCTAGTTAACAGCAGTGATACCACAATGCACCTACTAGTTTGTTAACAAAAAATTAAGTAGTGATCACATTTAAACTGAAATAAAGTTGAGTAAGCCCAATTAAAAATCTCTGTATGTTGTATATTTTTTAATATATCTACTACAGGCATTATTTAAAAGGAAATGTTGCCAGAGATTTTATTTTATGGATGTGATGACACCAAATTTATTCTTGAGAACCACTGCTTTCTTTAAGAGGGTTACTAATTTCATGGAAGTTAAAAATATTAAAATGTTCCAAACTTCAGTTAACAATACTTATGACTGATATAGACTATTTTGAACAATCCCTCATTTTGGTAGTATTGTTTCAAGTCCTGAAGCAAAAGGACATACGTAATTTTGGAGGTTATAGTTTCCATACAGAGGGTCTGTATGAGTTATAGATCTTCCAAAGTAGCTTCATTATCACTGTAAAAAGAAAATACACTTTAACAGATCAATTTATTACTTTGTATGCATGTCTTAAAGACTGGAATTTACTGTTTTGGAGCCACATGTCAGATCTACTGTAGTGTTATATCCTGGTATGAAACATCTTTCTGTGATAAATATGATCACGCTAAGACTTTGTCTGCCTCACCTCCTCTTTAAACCACAGTCCTTAGATCATTACTTCCATAAACCCTTGAGAAGTTCAGAAACATGAAACAGAGATAAGAGTTTAGGGCATAATATCCTGTTTGAAATTATAAAATGGGTTACGTTGATACCTCTCTGCATACACTAGTCCATGGGAACCACATGAACTGTAAACTTCAAACTGCTTCTTCTCCAACACTTCTGGTTTGAATTTCTTAAGTAAGTATATCCAACATTCTACTTCTGCATTTTCAGTGCATAATTCAATTCTCTCAATTTCTCTAATGTAGAATGATGGATGGTCCTCCAAAATGTCCAGATGCTGTAACATGGCTTCATCAATTTCATATACTTCCCCAATTACATTCTGAAAAAACAATTTCTTGTTATTAGTCTACATATGAATAAAACATTTAAATTTTAATTTAAATAGTTTAATCTTACATGTCCTTGGCCTGGGGCATCTAAGACGAATGGAATGTTGTATTTTGTAGCAATGATTAAAGGATACTTCTTCATTGTTTTGCCAACTCCAATAAATCTGGAGAATCCTTTACTTGTGTCTGTTATCCAGTGATGATTTGGCTCCCCACTTTTCAAAGTGCCATATACAAAAACTTTATGCAAAGACATGTTGCTTACGGGTTTAAACAAGTAAATTTTAAATTTGATAACGGCATTGGTTATGCAACGTGATCTGAACTTTTAAGAGTCATCTTATTCATTCATTATGTGTAATTGCAGAAAAAGTATTTTTCACATTCAGATATTTTAGAAAGCTTATACACGTATGTTATGCTGCCATCTCGTTGGAGTACTTTTACCCTCGTTTAACACAAGGCCCCACTGCCCGTGTAATCTGTGACCTTAAAACGTGTTCAGCACAGATGCCATTTACCGGGACATGGTAATAAGAAAGAAGTTGATGTATAATTGTTCAGAGTCTGTATGTTGGATACTGTATAAATGGTCGGTTTAGAACATAAATATTATTAATAATCGGAGTTCTAAAATGTCAGAAAAATGAATTCATTTATGTAATTTTGCACATTCAAGTTTTTATAATTTGTTGATGAACATAACCTACAGTTTCCGATGTCATGTCTCAAGAGACCTTTGGATGGCCAGGATCCTGATTATGAAGACACCATCCCTCATGAGGCAAAGCGCTTACGATTACTGGAAGAAAATGGTAACATCTTGATCGTTAATATTATATTTTCTTCATATTTTTGTACTAAATGTAAAGTGTTGGTTTTGTAAACACATATCATAGTGTTTCTTTGTCATAGTTGGTGTATTAATGTTTAAGTGTTTGTACAGTTATTCCATGTTATATTTCCAACAATTTATATATGTAATTGAGAAGGAAATCATAGGCTGTTACAATTTTGAGTACAAATTTTGGTCTGGCATTTCTTTTAACTTTGCCGTTGGATAGCATTAATTTTACAAATGACAGTGAGTGTGAAGATGTTTTGCTGTGTAGAAGTTTATTGATGTTTCAGAGGTGAGGTTTATCTGTTTGTGTTGTGTGGCTTTGGCATTATTCCCCTCTCCTCCTTGTTTACCTCAGATTCTTCGAGTTGCACTGAATGCGGAAGAAAGTAACAAGTGTGATGCCACATTAAAATATTGTAACAGATAAGAGAGTTATTTTTTCTTGGAAAGTAGAATTTTCTGAAACCTTTAAAAATTACAACCTTTTTTCATTGTTTTGGTATGTAGACTCATTCTTACATTTGTGTGAGACATTTTATTTTACACTCTATAAATGCAGAAAATAGATACATGTCTTCAATGAAATGGATATATTTTTGTTTCCAGCAAAGGCAGAGTTTTCACAGCGAATCTCATCCATCATTCAGAAGGAGTTCAGTTCTGAAATTGCCAGTAGGGAGAAGGATATCCACGAGATTCAGGAACGCTTGCATCAGGCACAAAAACTATTACATATGCTGCGCTATGTCATTGTCACTACATTCTACAACAAGAAACAGATTCAGGTATATAGTGTTCAGTCAGGGATTAGATACTCAACAGCACGATGTCAGCTGGTAAGTCAAGCGACATCAAGATATGATGTGTAAACAGATGAAGTGATTCATTATTCTGATATCAAACGTCCCTGTTGATCGAGACAGTGGTTTAACTTGAAATTTTCTCAGATCGTCCACATATTTTTTTCTTATACTGTAAATACTGAACACAATACTTGTAACAATTTCAGGTACGGTACAGGAAAAGACGAGGCAGGTTGGCTTATTGCGTATTACTGATCGCCTTTGACTTGTGTTTTGAGGATACCTTGATTGACCCTTCTCTGCCCTCAGTTGTGTCTACTTGTATGCTCCACATAAATACTTTAATAGTGTCCTTTTGGGTATTTTTTTTTTACTTTCATGTTAAAAAATAATTTTAGGATTCTCTCTTCATTCGTTTTTAAAATGTGCCTCTATTATCTCATTCTGTAATTTGTTAGTCTGCTTTCCAAGGGGTTTATCTTTAGATTCTCTCCAATTATTTATTTTCATATTCTGTCTATTTTTGTTTTTCCTTCTTTAATTCTGAAAGGTCTCATTTCTGTTGCTATTAATCTACTGCTACCTGCCTCGGCCCATGATTGTATTTCTGCTACGTAGTCCATTCTTACACGTATGTGCATACTCATGAGGGGTGTAATTAATGATTCCAGAGTGGTCCAGGGGAACAACAAAAGCGCATTCACCCTGCCGTGAAGAAGTTGATTGGCAAGGAGCCTCGAAACTGGGAGCCACTTCACCGGCGCCCGTCCAAATACCGGCTTGTCCCAACCAAAAATGAGAAGGAGCCACCTGTCAGCAAGGAAACAAATATAACCAGCGAGAATGAGAAGAAGGAAGCGGTGTGTAAGGTACCACGGTACATCCCACCGAAGACTTGTCCAAATGCTAACAACATCATTCCAAGTAGCCCACGCCGAGGCATGCACCACAAAGTGAAGAAGAGGTATGTTATCTGTGATCCATTTGAAAACGGTAGAGTAGAATGGGGGAACTAATTAACACTTTAGGTTAATTTTAATTATATAAGCTTGAAGGTTTAGTCCATTTAATGCTTCAACTGCACAGGTTTATGTAGCATCAAAATACATGAACTTGTATAGTTATTTAGTCTGTTTTTATTAATTTATTTCACATAATGCATAAAATTAATACGTGAGGTGTAGGATGTGTTTGACCATCCGCAGGTTTTATGTATTTTACTAAAAGCTGCCTCCAAGCGAAATACATTAAAAGTTGCAAGAAATGCATTTGAAAACAATGCGTCTTCAGATTTGTACACTGTTTGTTGTATGGTCGCAGAATTGTGATTGGGAACATCTCCAAGTGGGTCCCCGTGGACACACGAGAGGATGCAGCAAGCCACAAGTGGATGATGTATGTGCGTGGCCCTAAGGAAGCTCCAGACGTGTCTGATTTTATATCCAAAGTTCGGTTCTTCCTGCACCCAAGTTACCGGCCGCACGACATTGCAGAAGTGACGTAAGCAGAATGATGCTCCTTTCTCTGGATGTCATGTGATCCGTTTGATTACTCATTGCATTCTTTGCACTCGGATTTTGTGTCTTTTACTCTGTCCATTTGTTCCTTCTCTGTACTTTTACACTTGTATTTGGTTGATATCAGTAAAAGTAATTGTAATATGATGAAGATTCGCCTCTTTGCATGAACTCTTGCAGATCTCCACCTTTCCATCTGTCACGGCGGGGTTGGGGCGAATTTCCGTTGCGTGTACAGATTCACTTCTGCCACTCTCGCAACAAGCCAGTTGACGTGATACATCATCTGAAGCTTGATCGCACATACACAGGACTGCAGACTCTTGGTGAGTTGCTGCGATCTCTTAACAAGCGCAGGCACACACATTGAATGTGACAAATCTAGTGTTCAACGTTCTTTGTTCCAGAAATACCCAGTTTGAATCTTGACTGGGAGGTGTGCTATTTTCCCTAGTCCCTCCAAATATATGCAGGATAAGATTTTATGATAATACATTTCTTCTGTTGGCAGGAGCTGAGACAGTTGTAGATATCTGGCTGCATACTGGAAATGACTCAGATGTGGTCAGTAGTGATAAGAAAGTTGCCAGCACTGAGGAGAGTACATCTGTTGGCAGAAGTGATGTCGTGGAACAGGTGGATTCAGGAGTGAAAGTGGGGGATAGTTTTAACAGCGGTGCTTCTCAGGAGGTTTGTGACTCGGCTACCAAGGAACATTCACGTGGTCTGATTGAGCCAAAATTGGAGGTGGTAGACAGTTTTGATTGCAGCGCAACTCGCGATAACGCCTCAGAACTCGATACTAACGTTCAGGGTGAACGTAGTTCTCGTGATATGACTTCATCATTAGACCACGACTACTTTGGGGGCATGAATGTGGACATTAAATCGGAGCGTGCTGATAGCCGTGAATCAGTGCAATCACTGCCATGTTTTTCACGAGAAAACTCTTTAGAGGATTACGCAGATGTGGGTAACATGAAGTCTGGTGTTGAGCCGGACTGCAACATGCAGAATCACGTGATAGAGGATGTACCAGCAGTACGAGAAAAGAAGAACAATTCCATTTCAGTTTTAAAAACAGAATCAGTGACTGGAAGCAGCTCTGTTATAGAACAAAATGTGTCAGTCGCAAAAAATGACTCGGTATTAACCACGCTTGTGAAATGCATGGACAAGAATGGCCACATATTTTACCTAACACTTGGCAAGTCAGGCCCAAAACCACAGGTGAATCTTGCATCAGTTGTGCCAAGATTAGATCACTCTCTCAAGCCAGCCAATTTTACCTCCTTGTTAATGAAACAGCAGTCGCCAAACACTGCAGTCTGCAGCAAACTCTCACCCACCGCAGATGTAGTCTCCAAATCTAAACTAAATTCCTCCACTGTTCATGTTCAGTTCAATAATCATGATTGTAACGCGAAGGGTAGTGCGCCCTCTAAGGACAATTCTGGCATAATACCATTACAGAGTAATTCCTCTTTGTTTGTACCCCCTCGGGGTATTTCAGGTGGTACGATGATGACCAGTGGTGGCGTACATAATATGTTGCCTGAAGAGGCAAATTCCACTACTTCAGTAACATTACAAGGAACATCTAAAATGATCCCCGTCCAAAGCACAAACTCGAATCCTGGTATGAAAGTAACCCCATCGACGACATTAGCAAGTAATTTGTCCGAAGTGTTGAAGCAGTTACAGGGCAGTTCTGGGAAGTCACTATCTTTTCTGAAGCAAAATTCAAATTTGCCAGCTACAGAAAAGTTGGAAGATGGAAACAGAGATGGGGATTTGAAGGGTGTGAACCTTGGGTCTGCTCAGAAGACCACTCCAGTTCCTGCCCAGTCATTATTGATTGTAAGAAATGGGCATTTATATTTGGTGAAACATATACACAATTCTACTGCCTCCTCGACACTCACTACCAGCGCTAATAAATACAGGGTCATTCTAAAGCAACCGGGTGTTATTTCAGACACAGTTCAAATCAGCAAGTCTCTAATGACAAGTTCTGTGAATTCAACTAAGGGAGGCATCAGTTTGTTAAAGAATCATGCAAAGAAATCGGTGCCAACGAAATTGTTGCAGCCTAATGCAGTGAAGATGGCAGACGTTGACAGCTCTGAAAATACTCAGTTGGTGTTTTCAGGCCGAACTCTGGTGCTGAATAAAGCAAATAGCCGACACATCACCCACTCAAGCAAGATGCACTATGCAGATGCTCTCAAGTGAGTATGCCGCTTATTATTGATACAGCCCATATTTTTTCTCTCTTGCTTCATTTAATGATAGGCCAATTTTGGTATCAGTCTGGTCGCCTCGAAAACTATAATACAAATTTGATGTTGACAGACGTGATTAACAGTAGAAAGTGTGTATGGCGTAGGGTGATCAGACTACATACACTATACCAAAAATGTCTCATATAAACACTATAAATATCAGAAATTATATAGAATTCTTTTTTTTTATTTTATGTAATTAATAATTACAGGGACTGAAGATTGATCAAGATTAAATTTGTATGATAATTTTAAGTTGACAACTGCTTGAAGGTTATAATTTTTATTTGTAGTGTTGCTGTTGAGTCTTGTAAGTTTGATGACGTTGCCCTTGCTGTTCGCTGGTTGTTGAGGCACATACCTCTGATTTCACCTGCTGCAAAGGATCCAGCTTTCAGAGTACTTCATCCCTATGCTGCCCCCAGTGAGGCAACCTTTTTGCAATGGAATGTCGGAAAGCGGAGAGCAGCAGAGGTGAGCCATATGGTTCATGGTTTCTTCTCATACTAACCTTTTTTTCTCTTGAACACATTTATCTTGTTTCTGAAGTTCAGAAGTCAGTCCCAGATCTTAAGAATGTGTTCCTAATTTGGCTCCAAGATTCCGATCGTATCTGTTACTCCCACTTGTCAGTTTAATCCTCGTCCTCCTCCGCTTATACGTTACATCACCCACCAGCACAACTAGATTGAATGCAGTGTTAACTCTCGTACGTGCCAGAGAATGTAAATAATGTCAGACAACACACCAGGCTGTTGTGTCCAACACTCTAAACTGTAACCATAAGACTTAATAAATGTCAGTGTCTTAGTTCTAACAAACTCCTGATCTGTTTGCCCCTGTAATGTAAAACATGGTGACGTGTGTTTATTTTGGCAGTGGATTCAAGCAAAGGCAGTGCAGAAAGTATTACAAAAAAGGTTTCCAGAAGAGTGCGTGTGGTGTACACATGCCATTGTGGTGTGGGCAAAGCTTCATGGGTATACACCAGTTTTGCACCCTGCAGATGCAGTCACAGAACCTGCATCAAGTGATCTGACAGTACGAAGGACATACTCGGAGCCTGTTGGAACCATGGATTGGCTGGTAACCAATCACAAGTCAGAACAATGCTCTGGTGTCGAGTCAGATACCGAGGTTGATGTGGTGGGTGTAGATTCGCCACAGACAAAGGGTGAGTTGAATGATGTTATGATGAGAAGAAAAGGGTCAGTAAGGTGGAGTCTTATTGCGACCTTTGTAGTTGTAGCAGTTGGGGTACGTTATCGCACTTACGAGGAGCAGCTTGATTTCCTGTCCCACTTGTTTCATCTGTTTACTTTTTAAAGGAAAATAGCATTTTACAAAACGAAGAGTCAACCCGTACAGTATACATACCAGAATAACTTAACAACTGGAGTTCATGAGTGACCAAAGAACATTTACAGTTGTCAACTCGGGGAAAGATTTAATTAGACACGATCTTGCCTGCTTTTCATGGTAGTCGAGTGTTGCTTCAGGTCCTCAGTTGTAATGTATTTATGTTTTGTCTTATAGCACCCTTAAAACAGGGACCATCACAGTTTGATGAGGTTGACAGCACTATGGATGTCCTGGAAATAGATCCTGATCTGCAGGCTCAGTTCTTGTTTGTGCGTGAAACTGCAAGGGAAGTTGGCTTCAAGTTTCCACCACAGGAGATAGTGCCTGGCGTGCTGTTCTGTGCTGCCGAAAGAGTGCTTTTAGAGGTCTGAGATTTACTGGGATTATAGTAGAAACTAGAAATTTAGGAATGAAGATGTTACTCTTACAGCTTTTGAAATATTCTCATTTTGATACGGTACTCTGTTGGTATGCGAGTTTTTATATGTCGGTTGCCATAATGTTTCCTTTTCTGTATAAATAATTGAATTGTGAAGATGGCTGTCTTCTGGGTTGTAGTACTACATGGCGCTAGAACCCAGAAGACGGCCATATTCATACTGACTGCTGTGATAACCACAAAACCTACTACTAGAAATGTGTTTTATAAACTTCTTGTAATTTCTGAATTAGATTCGATCTCCAGTTTTTGAACGACAATAAAAATTAGAAACTTGTTTTATAGCTAAGTGAATATGGTACTGTGTTGTTGTACCCCATCTTCTACGTAATATTATATTGTAATTGAGCTCTGATTGCTTCCCAGTGTAATGTCATATCAGTGACAGACTTTCTTCCACATGGTGCCCCCAAGAGAGTATCGAAGAATGGTATTATTTTGCAGCAGTTTTATTTGCCAATTGAATAATATATTTTCTAAAGCGTTCATGCCTTGACGTTGCAGGCAGTGCGGTCCCTAGCAGATGACCTGTTGCGGCGGGCACTCCGCATGGCATGGAACAGAAATTCAAACAGGTTTGTGTTTCATTATTTGATTCACATTGCCACAGCTCGTGAGTGATTCTCAAGTCAGTTGATTGTAAGGTATTCTAAGCCAGCTGTGTCAATTCTAAATTTGTTAAACCCCATTATATGAAGTGGAATTATGTTCAGTGAAAACGTAAAATATGAAGGGTTTATGTGGGATGAAAACGTGGTTTCTTAATACCTGTTAATATTACAACATGTGGCTTTTCTTTCACGGTATCTTCCTGTACTGCACAGTGGTTTAAGAAACTTCTACAAAAATGTCAGGTTGCAGAGGTAATCTGATGAATTTCTTACCATGTATAAATTAATTAAAATTTGTGTGAATGAGATGGTTCAAAGCATCAAAATAAATTATTCTTGTTAACAGGCACCCTGACGGCATCACAATAAATGACGTGCGGACAGCGATACTCGCCCGCCCAGAATTTGACGTCTTCTCAAACAAGGGTCTGGGTGTTCAGTTGACAGATACTGGTTGATAGGAGGCAGCGGTAGTTGTAACAAATTGAAGGCATGAATAAGAGGAATGTGCGGATTTGATGAGATTTAAACAGACGGCAGACTGGCTAAGCTGATTATTTTCTGTATTTTGTCAGAAGATGTACACACACGCATCCTAATCCCATCCCACTGGTATGTTATACTGCTCAACCTGATCTCGCAGCCAGCGATGTACTGGCTCGTAGTACTGCAGTAATGGCTTGACATCATATCGAGTACTTCCTGTGAGGATCTGGAGTGCTTTGCTCCAGTGTCGGCTGCTCCCAAGACTCATCATCGCTCTACACAAACAGATGTACAATATTTATTAGTTACAGCACGCGTGCAATCTTATATTTGTCAGCCAATTGTTATAATGACTTTAACTCATACCAATTAAGAATTTGTTGTGCAAAGGTGAGACACTTTTTGTGGTTTCTGAGAACAAGAGTTGATTTGAATCATTCTAACCCTTCATGGACTATAAGGAAGATATCTGAGAAACACTGACCTCCAACTGATTAACTTGAGTGTTAACCTTCATCATATGAGAACATAAAAGAATTAGGATTTGAATCCCTGTATTTTGGTTCTGAGGTTAGTGGATTAGCGCTACGCCATTTTATGTAAATATTTGTTGGATATTGCAAGTACCCATTAGAATGAACGTATTTCTTAATTTTATAGAATGTCATTATATTGGCGTCGCAGTGTGTTGTAAGCGCTGCCAACAGCAGAGACAGTTCGGCTGTAGAGCAACTGCTGTTTGATTTGTAAGTGGGACTGAGGAAGTTAGCGTTGTGGTTGCGTCGCCTTCTGCAGGTACCCTGTTTAGATTTGTTTTCTTCTGATTCCGCAGGCAAGTGCTGGGATAGTACACACTTGTTGAAGTAATCTATCACTGTTTCCTTCTTATTCCATTCCACTTCATTGAGCATTTATTTGTTTTAGTGCTTTGAGGTTGCTTCTTCATGACTGAATATTATGGTAAAAATGAATTATTTGGTCGATGTCATCCAACGTTTCAGAGGTCATACTGCCTCCGTCATCAGGGCGATGAATCATCACACAGCGCAACAACCCAGAAGACAGAAATCTTCATACTCTGACGACGGAGGCAGTATGACCTCTGAAACGTTGGATGACATCGACCAGACTACACGGCGCAGCAACCGAGAAGACAGAAATTAAGAATTATTTTCTACACATTTTTGTGGCAACTTATAATGTCCATTACTTTACTTACTTTCTGGGGATTAATATAGCGCATTTCACTTGGATCGTATCCGTTCAGTCAGGCCTGCTATTTCCTTAAAGTTATAGCAGTTTTTCTATTATGCAACAACATCATTATGTATTCTCGTTGGTATATTTTTTCCCACGTGCATATTCCAGTAAGTTCTGACAATTTCTGGTGGTATCAGTTAACTCTGTACCGGAGCAGTTGCACTGACATAGAACATCAGGACGTCATGGGTTCAATTTCTGTATGTATGGTAGTTTTTTGCATAAATGAAAATGTGTAAGTTAAAACTGTTAATTTATTTGATTTTTAAATTATAATATTGCATATTTATCATTAGGAATGGCCTGATATGGAATTTATTGAACTCAGGTACATGTGTATTTGTATTTTTTTATACATTTTGTAATATACAGTGACCAATAGAGAAAGAAATTTGTGTAGTAGGGTGAGCATTTATGACACTCGATGCTACAACGTGAACTTCGTGGAACTTTGTACAGAAATGGCTGGGTCGTTCCGTGTAAGTGAACATGGCCGGAAGCCTACTTTTTGTTATTGTACTTTTGTATTGCAGGTGTTGTAATGATTTGTTTGTTAAACACTTTGAACTATTCTTGTGTGCTTCCTTTCTCATGTCCTACGCCTCATTTTGATGAATGACACTGGCAAAATTAATGACTGGATGTACAAGAAGTGGTAAGAATTCAACCAGAAGTTGTGGTTTGGAACGTACGATGGCAAACTCACCTCATTCGTGGGTTTGTGCATTATGAGTTTGCTTATTTGTGGAAAATTTTTGTGGTAATTGTGATTCAGATCCCTTACTCAGGAACTCAGAGTAACGTCTCAGTAGCTACGTAGATATTGCGTTGCGCCGAGCGTACTTCGTCTATTCTTTGCTGCCGTGTCACAGTGCGTAGGGATGGTGACATATTTAACTCCTAAGGCTTTATACAGTGGTTTTTGAAATGTCGGTGCTACAGTAACTGATAGTGGTCCTGTGAACATTTGTTAATAAAATTGTGGGAATTATTGGGTCGCCTATAAAATTAATATGATGCATGCAGTGTGTGCGTTATCATCGTCATTCATCATATTGACCACCAGTAACATCACATAGCTTAATTGTTCTCTGACGTTTGTCAGAATTTGACGTTTTTGAATGGTGGTAGTGATGTCAGTTGTGGGAGTCGCTGATGTCTGTGTTGGATGGGGGTGCTCGTTTCCTGTCTGGTTGACATAACGTTGTTCGGCCTCATCCTCACAGACAAAGTATGTACGTAATCGTCTAAAGTGACTGCTATAATTATGGTTATAATAAAAATGTTAATGCAATGATAACTTTAGTTTAACTCGTCAATATCAAGCTTCATGAAGGTCCGTTAAGTTCTCAAGTTACATTTAGGCAGATGGATATGGCAGTGGTAATAGGCAGAATTAAGTTGGTAGACGTTACCTGAGCCTGTTGCCAGCCTGCTTGGAACCATAGATGTCACAGTGATGGAGAGGCATTGGCAGTGTCTTACCAGTACCAACATGACCAAGCACCGCTGCCTCACACATACCCTTAAACATTTGAGCTTGTAGAATATCACTCAAGAAGTACCTGTAACAGTCGCAACGTTTTAACCTGCAGTGTATTGAAAACTTAGTGCCTGTTATATATATATGTCTTAAAACAGGAAATCATGCTGTGAATCTAAAATAATTCCCTAAAGTGATGGGAAACAGCGATCTATACTGAAGTCTCCACAACTATATGGCTCTTAAAACCTGAGCATTTTAAAATCAGATTATTACTTTTACAATTAAGGGATGCTGGAGAAAATTGCATGATAAGAAGCTCCATCATTTGTATCTTCACCAAATATTAGTATCATCAAGTAAAGGAGGATGAGATGGGCAGGGCACGTAGCACGCAGGAAAGATGAGAAATTTACACAATTTTTTTTTTGGAAGTCTTGAAGGGAAGGTATTAGGTATAGACAAGAGGATGATTTTAAAATGTATCTTAAGGATGTAGGTTTGATTCATCTGACTCGGGATAGGGACAGGTGTTGGGCTTTTGCAAACATGGTAATGAAATTTATCATTCCATAAAAGGTGTCGAGTTTCTTCACTAGCTGAGCATTTTGTTAGCTTCTCAGTAAAGTCTCTGCTCCATGGAATTAGTTTAGTTAAAATGCTTTGCCATTGGACATAATGCAGAAGTTTCAATAGACAAATAGCAAACAGTATGGTATGGGTTGGCCTAGTTTGTGGCTTATAGGCGCACCTTATATAGGGTGTGTTATCAGGGATGTGGAACTTAGCAGCTGGGTCGAAGTCGTCCTCTGCTCGGGGTACAGGAGGCATGATTCCCTGGTAGCGTCTCTTGAGCGCCCACCAATCTGTGTTATATTGCTTTGGGGACGTGTCTCCTCTGAATACACTCCATCGCCATTTGTCCAATAACAGGCCGAATGGCAGTTGAGGCAGCTTGGCGAGGGCCTGTCGCAGTAGCAACACTAAACTCTCGTCTGCAATGTGAGGCATCCTTTGTGACCTTCGATACTGAAGTAGGAACCTTGAATACTGTATGTTTCAAGCACTAAATTGAATTGTACCTTTTATGTTCATAGGATCGGAGCTTGATCATGAACACTTGTGCAGTTTGCAGGCATTATTTTTCATAAAACAACAATTTGGAATACAGGTGACTCATTGTATGAGCTTTTTAAGATAAAACTCGGTTTGGCTTACCCCGGGTGGTGTCATTTATGAGTCCCAGCCGCTGCAAGTGTTGAGGTGCCATCACGGCGTACATGATTGAATCCCCCACGGCCTCTTGGAACGCTGAGTTTGCGCCTTCCTGGAAGATAGCCGCATTGTTTGATGATTATAAATCTTCATGTGGCCATGAACACTTTAAGATATATTGCAAGGTTCGGTGAAGGTGTATATGGTCCATGGCTGGAATTTGAGATAAATCTCTAAAACATGAGGCATTCACATCACTGTTCAGCTAACCTGCTTATTTCTGTATGGTGTTGATTGCTGAAATGAGCAAAGTTTACCTGGAACACAGCAGGCTGGTTTCTGTACGCCATGTAGTACTCGATGTGGCCCATCTCGTGGTGAATGACATAAAAATCTTCTGCGTTCACCTCGGCACACAGCAGCATCCTGGTTGGCATACAGATCTTAAGTTTGGTTACTTGATATTGTGAAACTTTCTGGTGTTTATCTAGCGCTTTTGGAACGGATACATTTGGGGGTTTTATCAAGCAGCTTCTGTGCCCTCTCCTGTAATTTACCATTCTTTGAAAAACCTCGAGATATCTAATGTTTTAGAGTCAGGATATTTCATCACCGTTCTGTCAACATGGCGTGACCATTCTGCTATTTATTTTCGCTATAACAGAAACACATGTCCGCATTCTTTGACTGGCGTACTGGCCCTTGAGAATAAAGTACACTTGGTCCATGTAATATAGTAGTTTCATAATAGAATTACATTGGACTTAGGAATTTATTAAATCTGCTTGGATTTTGTGAGTATTATACATAGGTTTAGTTTAGCCTGTTGTGGTCTGCGATTAACAAACGCCCTGGCATTCAGTGACTATATTTGTAAAGTTTTATTTCGATAGTTAAATATTTAAATTCCGTTCTGTAACTATACCTGAAGTCCCCTGGTTGGTACATGTTGGCAGCAGTGCCATGGCAGGTGCCATTGGTGTCCGTAGGTCTCTCTATCTGCGAGTGTATCCAGAAGCTTCGGGTCATGGGTTCAAGTCCTAGAGATGTGTAGAAGTCCTCTGCGTGCCGCACCATGTCAATAGTGGAGTAGTTCCGTGCACGCAGGGTGGAGGTCAGATTGATCATATTTTGTCCAGGTATCAACAGATCTAGCAGCGTCTCCCAGTTCTGTGCCCACATGTTACCTAGCGATGCGCAAAATATGTCATATTATTTTATGTATTTGTTGCTTAACATTATAAACCCGGAGATAGGGATTAGCTCTATCTAGTGGGCCCAACTGTATAGGAACCTGAAGACGGAGATAGAGTCCCATCTCCGAAACGTCGTTTTTTACGTTTTATATTTACTAGATGATGGATAATATCCAAGTAAATTTTTATTCAATTTACTGCCATATTGTAAAAAAAATTCTATTATAATTGAAGTTCCTCTTATTATTTTGATTTATGACAAAAACTATTTAAATTACATATCGTAAGCCCACGTCATGTTACAATATTTCTGAATGTGACGTGTTTGTTAAATGACTTAAAATATTTTGCTGTCACCCTCCTTTTAGCATTCAGTTTTAACTTCATACTGAAATTTCATAAAATAATTGTACCTGTTTAAACGTGGGTGTGGTTGACACAGAATGTAATACGTCAACAGCGTCTATTAGGGTGGGTCCCGGTAGGAATGCTTATTGTATTTCTTATCTTCTTTTGTAATCTCGTTACCAGAAGCGTGACACAGTTTGTTATGTGTGTCTCTGGACAGGAGAAACATCGGAGCCCCAGGAAATAAATTTAATTATCTTCAGACGCCGTCGGTGAGAAAGAAACTGCGATCCAGGTTTCTTAGCTTGATTAATTTTCGAGTGTGCCGTATTATAACATCACGCTGCAAATTACCTAGGAGATGAGCTGGGATAGGTCCTGTGGGAGGTACAGTCTCTTCCCCGTAAAGTTGAACAAGCTTGAAGCGAACAACCGCATGCAGCAAAGTGTACAGCGGTTCCACCTGGCTGTAGAGTTCCTCCACAACATATTCCAGATTCGGTGTCTCCAGTTCCTCTCGCCAGCACTCCCCAATGTCCCGGTAGCCGTTGTTTCTTGCCCCCTGGTTCATGAGGGTTACGACGGCTGGGTATAGGAGCTTGGACGGTGGACCCACGGCACGTCGCCATTCCTGCCAGCCCCACAGCAACTCGGCTGGGTCACGAGACTCTGCCATGAGGCGCTCGAGGTCCGGTTCCCCGCGGTAGCATACGTCACGACGGCACACGTGTGCCCTAGAATAGGTGTTCTGCAGTAACCCGAGTTTTGCGTTCAGCTCGCTGAAACAGATGGAACTCATCTGATATTCAGCGAAATTAAACAATCATCTGTTGGCGTGTTACAATGCACGTCTGACCTTGCAGATAGTTGTGTACAAGTCTCACCTGGCTTGGTGCGGTGTGTACTTGGGTCCTCTGCATAAGAGGTACATCTGACGTGGGGCCAATTCCGTCAGAGCGCGACCCTGGTCACACCAAGCGTTGCGCCACGCGGTGTGCCACTCGGCCGCTCGGGTGACCACGCGCGAGGGTACTGAGTCAGGATCCACGGCGAGGTTCCAGGTCACAGCTGCTGCCTGAGCGTTGATGTGACGTAACTCGGTGTCCAGCTGAGTGACCACTGCAATGCATTCGCTCTTTCCAGTTCCAGAGAGTGTACGAAAATACGCGTGCAGTGCGTGATGCGACATGAGACACAATTTAGGTCTTATAAAAGCGATAAATTTTTAAATAATCAGCTTTTTGCGACAAAAAAAAGGCATTTTCATCGTGTGTAAGAATGAGTACCATATTTTCAGAACGAGAAATATATCAGGATCTCAAAGCTGGTAGATCAGGGAGATCGCCCTGACAACGGACGTAGAAAGCATGTACGAAACTTCGGTTAATTTCGACCAGTCTGCTTAGTGCAACATCCCACAAGGCAGTCATCTTCTTATCGGATAAATTTAATAATTTATCAGCGAGAAAGGGAAAGTTTGTCAGGTCGCCAGATGTCAGGGGTTCAAGACTTGATCATATCCACTAGCCTTGGGTTCAAATAAATTATTTATTGTTTATAAATTTAAGTACTCAACTTCATAAATTTTGACGTAAAGTTATAGAATAACAGCAGCTTTGAAGTTTCTGTTACAAAGTTAATTTATTAGTCAAGTCAGCCCTTTAGAGCTCAGTGGTAATTATTTTAACAGCCAGTAACTCTTAATTTTACCCACAGAGAGTACCATTTTCGTTTCGTATGATTCTTAGAATAAACAGCGATTATTTCCTTAAACAGTGTTAACCATTTGATCTTTATAATGGTGAAGAGTTGTGTTTTCTTCGCGGTACGGACTGAATTCTTAAATATTATTTAGACGAGCGTAGGCTTCAAAGGGTTAACCAGTTGATCTTTGTAATGGTGAAGAGTAGTGTTTTCTTCGCGGTACGGACTGGATTCTTAAATTATGTTTAATAATTCATCGGGCTTCAAAGGATTAAGCCTTTGCTTAGAGATATTAAATGAAGCTAAAATTATAATTAGGAGAATATCACAAGATATGACAAACAGCTGATTAGAGGAAGTGTCTAAAACAGGCTTCTAACCAGCTTGTTTTTATTTCTACTGATTATACGTCCTAATATTCACAGTGTTTAGATTCTTTCCTGAGCAGGGTTACTTTATTTCAGTGAAATCTCGTCGTCAATAATTTATTCCACCTACTCTCACGAGCTTTGCTTCTAGACAATTGACTGACGCGAGCTGGATACTTAATAATTCAGTGTAGATGCCTTGTTCTTGTTTGCATTATACATGCCACATATAGCAAACCACTTAAGTAGAATTTTCACGTCACATAAAACACGAAATTAACACAAAATTCTGACGGCCGCAAATGGTATGGTAGTCCAGTGTAAACTGAACTTCCAACTCAAAATTTTACAAGAACTTACAGCGCTCATCAGCGTTCAAAAGCGAAGATAGGAGTTATTAATATACTTAATCCTTTTCATGTTAATTAAGAAATGATCTCGTTTGGAAACTTAAGCTCCTATGATTTAGATTTAACTGACGGCTTTTGTAGATTGACGAAAAACTTTGTTAAGGGACTTTGGGCGTTATTGACTCATACATATAATTCAATAAGGCCCAAAGTCCCTTAACAAATTTATCCGTCCAGGCTTTCTCCATTAATTAAATGTCATGATATGAGGAATGGAACAACGCACCTTTGAGCAATAAAGCGAATTTAACGTCATAGGCCTATAAACAATTGCATGTGATATGCAGGTCGTTCTTTACGGACGCAACGTCACGGCGTAGGTTACTATTCAACTTTATTTCGTGAAGCACTAAATTAATGATGAATTAACTTTAAAAATAAGTAAATAACTGAAGGTGGCATAACAGTCAGTTTAATTTAATTTAATATTTTATTTTCTGTGAGAGAATTAAAAACAAGGCAATCTTTGTCGTATCCTGTGTCTCGTCAGCGTACTGATACATTTTTATACCTCTCGTATTATTTGATCTGAACTAAAGAATTACTCACGGTCCGATGCGACGGATCGCTGGATTACGACCAGCAGCAGCGCAGTCCACACCTCCATCGCGTCTACCCCGCGATTTCACGAAGGGCGCGCCTTTTATAGGCAACCTGCTGTCCTTACCACGTGACCAGGTGATCTCAGAAAGCCAAACTAATGGCTATAGACCAGTAGTAATACATAAACAAATAATAATAATTAAAAAAATGTAATAATAATCCACGTAATGTCCTACAAGTCTCATAGAAGTTCGTCGACGTTTCAGTGGTGCATCATCAGGGCGATAGATTTCTATGACACGACGTAACATCCCAGTCAACTTCATAGAGCAGCAGTGAGAACCTTAAATTTCATTTAATGATTAAAGTACTGTGTTAATAATGGATGTTACGCCTGCAATCCAATGGGCATACTTACCGCATCACAATCAAGTCAGAGAAGTTGCCGGGAATCACGGCGAACGTAGCTTCAAACGGTTAATGACATAAGAATAATTTAGTATTTGTCTTTCAATGCACTTTAATGCGTAACTTATGAAGTTATACCGTTATTAATTACATTGCTTGTGAAATATATTAAACCTTTACAGCCTAGTGGTAACTATATGTACCATCTGTTTCAACAATCAGTAACAATACGTTTTGTATTTATGTGCTTCGAATTATTCTCATTCTGACCAGCGATTATTTCCTTTTAAACAGCGTTAACTAACTTAACTCTGTAATGGTGAAGTGTGGTGTTTTCTTCGCGGTACGGACTGAATTCTTTAAATATTATTTAGACGAGCGTAGGCTTCAAAGGGTTAACCAGTTGATCTTCGTAATGGTGAAGCGTTGTGTTTTCTTCGCGGTACGGACTGAATTCTTAAATATTATTTAAGCGAGCTTCCAGTTCAAAGGATAGAAGATACATGCATTACAAAGAGATTATTGGAGAAATATGAAATAAATAAGAAAGGTGATTAATTTAATAGCCCACATTTTATTTTAATGCAATCCATACGAAGAATGGGGGGGACTCTTTTGGTCAGTAAATGATATTTTTATTATTCGGCAGTGTGCAATTTCTTTAGCGCTGAGAAAACCTATAATTGTTTATCATGTAATTAGAGTGCAGTGCTAACCAAAATACTATTTCGACAATAATAAGCAAATTTAAGATCATTCACCACGACAAGAGGATTAGACTAACTTTCTTCGTGTGGAATGTTTATGTGGCCAGAGAAATCTCTCTTAGTGTTTTCACACAAGTTCTTTGATCGCGATGTCAAGAGGTTTATCAGATTTCAAAAGCCTGTGTCCTCACTTTCAGAATAAACAGCAAAGCTAATATCGAGAACAAAGCAGTTTAACTCGATGCCTTGGCTCCTTTGATCCTGAAGACACCATATCGACATTTCGTCAACTTGAAAATAACATTATGCACGCAAAATCTTTCACGAAACCTAATCTCACAGCAATGTCGTTGTCTGACGGGTCGCGATATACAAGATTAGCCGTATATTACACTACTCACTCAGTGACAGTCTCACAGTCCCCTGAAAGCGACGCACACAGCTAATAAAAACAAATGAAGACGCTCTTTTCTTGATTGCAGCGTGACTCGATTCCTGATCTCAACCCTTCAACAGGTAGACGAGCTTTCGGGCAACAGTGGCGCATGTCGAGAAAATAATTTCGCCGATTTCAAATACGTTTAGGATCTGCAGCATCACAATACAATCTAGAGTGGCCTGTTCTAAGACACCACAGGTTTTGATTAAGACTTCGGTTGTGAAGGTCTGGTTTCCATAGACGATTAACCGAGTGACTGTTCCTTCTCGGTGTTCTATTAACCGTGTAACTTCTACTGGTAACTATATGTACCACATGCTTTAACAATCAGTGCTTTTGAATTTCGCTTATAGAGTGTATTTATAAGTTTCGTGTGATTATCAAACTAAATAGCGATTATTTCCTTAAACAGCGTTAAGCAGTCGATCTTTGTAATGGTGAAGAGTTGTGTTTTCTTCGCGGTACGGACTGAATTCTTAAATGTTATTTAGGCGAACTCAGGCTTCAAAGGGTTAACCAGTCGATCTTTGTAATGGTGAAGAGTTGTGTTTTCTTCGCGGTACGGACGGAATTATTAAATAATATTTAGATAATATTCGGGATTCTAAGAGTTAAGTGACCTGTTTGACCTTACCAGGATTCTGTGTAATTTCAGCTGCAAAGATTTTCTTTACCCGAGATACATGACAATTTCTTCGATTTGATCGTATTAACACTGGCAAGTAAGCTGTGTAAACCACGAAGTCCTTCACGTTCTATTTCTGGACTCTTACGTCCATATATTTTATTCAGCTCCTGATTGTTTGCCTTTTAATTTACTCTAGACAAATAATCTCGCGTGCCAGTATTGCATGCAGCTCTCCAGCCCACAGCTGCGTCCCGACGCCGTTTATAGGCCTCCATCTCCGCCATTATAAAGCGATTGAAGCCTTACAAGTCCCACTCGTGTTCCGGTACTTCTTAAAATGCGTCATCATTCTCAAATAACAGATGTTCCAAGTCATATTAAGTATATTTCGGCGTAAAAGCAATAGGGAGACCACTCCTTCCGATCCTCCAGTCTACACGGCTAATCTCTCGCGCCATTAGGCAAAATTTCGGCGAAAATTGGAACGGGTCTACGTGATAAGTTAATGGAACGAATTTTATTTTGAAGATGGCCGTCTTCTGGTTTGTAGCGCCGTGTAGTCTGGTAGAAGTTTACGAACGTTTCAGAGGTCCTTGCTGCCTCCATCTTCAGGACGAGAATTTGGTAAACTTCTACCAGACTACACGGCGTTACAACTCAGAAGATGGCCATCTTCGTACTCACCACCAGGAGAACCTCAAACCCGAATTGAATTTTGTTTATTTTCAGCAGTATTTATATTTCTAACTGATATAAATCGATATATTTGTTCGTTAGTCGTTTATGAGTACGACAGTACGAGTATTTTTGTATAAGTTGTCACTGACAGCTGACAAAGGGTGGTCACCCTGTTTAGAGCTTATAAACCTGGCTAACAACCAGCCAAACTAATTGCTTTTCTGTGTTTGAATCTCGTACAAGGTGGTTGTGTTGCCAAGTTTCGGAGGAACACACCGCCTCTATCATCAGGACTGAAATTAGGAATATTATGTAAGTAGATTATTTACACGAGGATGTGGTATAAATTAATATGAATGGAGGGGGATTGACCAGTCAGATAAGTGGTATGAGGAATGGAGTTTGTGGGCCAATAGTAGGCTCATGTGCCCCTTTTCGGGGCATCAGAAGGAAATTTACTTTTCATACAGCCGTTCACCTTGCTTCCCTATATAAACCATCTATTTCCGTAACATTTTTGTTGAAATTGTGGATATAATATTAAAACGGATTATGAAGATGTGAATAGGATTGAAGCGCTTCGTTATCCAGTTCAGAGTTTCCATGACAAATACCTTCACCGAGCACAATGAATTCTTGCAAGGGACTGGATATCTGTCTACTAATTAAAAACGACTCTACAACTGAATATTTTAACTTACTTTGGTAGTATCTGAACTCACGTCACAAAATGCAATTGAAATTAACGTGGTTAATTCGTTGTCCTGTGATGCGGTGTCAGATTCCTTGGGGATGCGTCTCACTTCCCACTCGACTTCAACTTCAATTAAAGGTCGATAAATAAACACTGCAGACGACAATGTCAATGTTTGCGAACTGCTAATTGCCTACTGACGCGTAAGATAACATCTGATAAAACCAACATCTGTTTCCCACTCAGGTGAGTGGTTGGACGAAGACGTCGAAGACCCCTCAGTTTCAAGTTCTGTTCAGGACATGGCGTTATCATAGCCTGATGGACGTTTGCAGTAGCAGATAGGCTAAAGTTACTCTATCTAGAAGGCCTATATGCGCATAGAAATTATCGATACTAGTAGTGTACGTTGACATGAAATTCCTGTAAAAGAACTATCGATAATTTAGATCAGGGGTCAACAACCTCTTCATTGTCTCAGGCCATATTGACTATCTTTGTCGAGGGCCTCAGAAAATAATTAATGTCGCGGACAGTAAGAGAAAGCGAATTTCTTTAGCCATTCGTACGAAGAACATTCGTACAAATTATCTGTGACTAAGACCTTCTGGAAAGAATGCCTGTTGTCAACTGCTGAGATCATGGCAGCACGACTTCTTCAGCTGGTAGACGCGATAGACAGGCAGTCAAACTTGTGCAGGTCTAGAAGGTGATTTGCTTACGCCAAAGCGTAAATAATACCTTTCAAACCGAGATATTATTGTAAAGCCACGACTGAAAATATTTTATTTAAGTTTATTTCAGAGATTCTGTATCTCATTTCGTAAGATAAATTTCCTCACTCAATATCTTCCAGAAATTTTTAGTTCTAATGTGATATGACCACTGGATATTCAAAACTGGACAACACCTCTTCATGTGACTTTTGAAATATAATTAATATATTAAGTATGCTGTCGTAACCTTGACTTCGTTAACTAAGAATAAACACATTTCTTCTCTTCCTGATATAAATTGCGTTCATCTGCACGGGGCAGTTCGAAGGCCTGTCGTGTCTCACGGCAGTCAATTCCCGGTGAGACGAAGGTGCTGATTCAGGATGCAATAACCTTTATTCAAATAAATTCTTACTTTGCCTAGGTTATAGGATATCCAACAGGATGCTGACTGAAACAGGAATATACAGGAAAGGGATAACAAAAATAACAGGAAGGATTTTGAAGCAGTGGCGCGCTATTTCACTCGTTAGCTGGAAGGACTGAGGAAAATCAGTCAAAATCTAAGATCCCATGAAAATATACTAATTATAAGACTGTGATATTCAGAGGTTAAAATAAATGAAAAAGGATAACATCAGATTATGTACTGTACAAATTTATTTCCATTTGTCTGTTAAATAATAAACATGTGAGGAGTAACTACACTTGCATACTATTCTCACAACATGTGTGATACAAGAAAATTCTCATCTCATATGCAACCAGACCACATCCGATGTCCTTTACTAACGTTTTCTACAGTTTCACCAACATAAGTACAATATTTCACTTTTTCAACAGCTGATGCCTCAGTATCATAAATGGTGCACCGACTCCACTCCCAAAGAATGCTATGAAAAGAACTGTTAGTTTGTAGCGGTTTGAGATGTCAAATGGGATGTTCTGGAAAATAAATACAAAGAATATTCATAAGATGGTGTAATTGCGTCATATTGTGAATATTATAACAATTATTTATTTTAATCCGTCTGATCACAATATTTAAAATTTCTTATAATTAAGATAATAAAATATCATCCATGTTCTGTATCGATTGATCGATGATGTTCCGAAATGTAAATCGATCAATCGATACGGAACATGAATGATATTTTATTATCTTAATTATAAGAAATTTTAAATATTGTGATCAGACGGATTAAAATAAATAATTGTTACAAAGATCATCACTGACTTGTAACATGGGGGGGTTTATACCTTTAAGATATGAAAAAAATTAAATTTTCCCATCACAAACTTTAACTTCTTCCACATCCTGCTTACTGTAGTATTTTTCAGTAGAAAAGGCAACAGAGTTGAGGTGTGCTCTTTGTGAGTGACCAATCAGTGCAAATGAGGTCTCCTAACAAACCAGCAGAAGCTCAGTCTGCCGAGTCACAGTGCATGTAACTGGTGCATGATCCAGCTTCCAATTCTACTGAGAAACATATTCCAAGCAGATATCTTGATCATCCAGGCAACACCATAGAACAGGGCAAAGATGAATTAAATTGTGGGGCACAACATTTAACATTCAGAGTCCCCACTGACAATGCTATTGTTACACTATTTTTCTATCTAGAATATCCTATACAATTAACAGCTATTAATTCACATTCAGTTCTCCATTCCACTTGCCTTTGTACAAACTACAACATAAAGATAAATAATATACCAGATGCGGAATTTTATCATACCCTCAGTCTCAAGTTAGGGTCTTTATCTCTGATCCTACAAGTGGCTAGACTCGGAGTAGGGGTTAGTTTTAGTTCAGGGATGCATCTACACCCATCCAATGTGCAGCTATTCAGAATGGGGATTAATTTCCCACTTTGGCCTTCACAGTTACTGTAATTGCAAATGTTTGTCACAGTTGTTCTTACCTTTCCTGGAATTCCCCCATGGTCATGTTCACTTCTCCTGGAGGCTGAAGTAATGAAATTCCTTGCAAATTGTGAAATCCTTCCAGACAGCATATTCGATTCCTAAAATTATCAGCTGAGTAGGACAGGAAGTGCGTCCTATAGAGACTAGCAACATAACTAGTCAAATTAGAGGATGGAACAGGGTAGATGAATAGTAGAAAGTTAAAAACGACTCATAATAAAATCTTGCCTTTATACGTCAATTTTAATTATCTGGAGCATAAACTACTATGGTGTAAGACATTGAGAAGAATGGCAATGTCTATACTGACTTCACCGTTTTACATGGCCGTATACGTTCGCATGAGATAGGTCATATGTTTTTGTTGTTCAGAAACCTTAAAACAAAGAATGATATTACAAAGAACAACACGCTGTATTTTTATAAACAAATTATTGAAACATAATTACTACACCAAAGAAGCGACTGTCATCGGTTCAACTCCTGACAAAAGCCTGCCGGATTATCAGGTGGGATGTACTAGATTCAAATCGAGATAAACTGTATGAGGTAGTAGGAGAAAATATAATGTTAGCTGACATAAAATTAAACTAAAGATATGCTATCTTGTAGGAAAATAACTTATTTCAACTTTTTCAAAACATTTCCAGGTCGTTTATATCATTAATTTAAATGATCGTTACATGATGTATGTAATTAACAAATAAGGCGCCCAAAAACTAGTTTACCTACAAACGTGAAAAGTGTTAACATTAATTTGCTCGAGAAATTGAAGAGAAGATGATGGGAAGTGGGGGTATATTATTGTATTGAATTACTTAGTAAACCATGTATGATATCTGGGTTAGAGTTAATGTTGGTTATTGTGGTCCTCGGTAGTATAGTGGTCAGTATCCCCGCCTGTCACGCGGGAGACCGGGGTTCGATTCCCCGCCGGGGAGGATTTTTTTTTTTATTTTAATGTCTTACACATGAAGGGCACGTTAAGACTGAGAAATAATTTTCATGCAAAGTCATAGTTCGGGGACAGTGTTAAACTGTTTTAAACGAGTAGAATGTGTGGACTGCAACACAACAGGTTCCATTTGTGAAGTTTTGTAACTATGATTTCATAGCAAGTTGGTAATTTCTTTACCAGATTTGCGACTATTAATTTCTAAAGATACACTCTGAACCATACAGGTCGGTGGAGTTAGTAATTTCATTGTGGAATTATCATGTGAGTAGATGTTAAGTGGGGTGTCTAAGAGTCTCCCAGATGGCCTGAATGGCATTGTTATTTCATGTATCATTTCCTGCATTACTTTTCCCTCTGTTTGGTGAGAAGTTTAACCTCACAATATGTTTTGTCACTGGTATGTTGGTTGCAGGAGAATTATGTAGTCATGAAGAAACTGGTGGCAGAACTGCAAGCTACAGTGCAGCGTGTGGTACAGGGAGCTGGAGAAAAGGCCAGGATGAGGCACACATCAAGAGGAAAGTTGTTAGTTCGGGACCGTATAAACCTGCTTCTCGACCCGGGCTCACCTTTTCTGGAGTTGTCACAGCTTGCCGGCCATGATATATATGGAGATGACATTGTCCCTGCAGGGGGTATAGTCACAGGCATTGGCAGGGTGGCGGGGTGAGTGATAACTGTGCTGTGAGGGCTTTTCTTTAAAACTACCGGTCATGGCTTGTTTCTGTGTAACTATGTTGTTTAACATTTCTCTGGGCTGAGATTTGATACTGGGACTTTTCAAATATCACAAGGGAGTACTAATTATGCTGTTGTAAAATTTGCTTGATTTCTATTTCTTAAAGCTGCATTTATGCTGTTTCAAGGTCTGAATGCATGATTGTCGCTAATGATGGAACGGTGAAAGGAGGAACGTACTACCCTGTGACAGTGAAGAAGCACCTCCGAGCACAGGAGATAGCACTAGAAAACAGATTACCGTGCATATATCTGGTGGATTCGGGTGGAGCAAACCTCCCATACCAAGCAGAATTGTTTCCAGACCGCAATCATTTTGGACGTATCTTCTACAACCAGGCAACAATGTCTGCACAAGGAATTTCTCAGGTGATGTACCAACTACTTGAGCCACTTGCTGGTAATAATTACTTACATACTGAAAATTACTTTGTTTTACGTGTTTGTATTGGTGTTATCCGTTGCTGACGTGTGTCACTGCATACAGTACTATGAGCAAATGTTACCTGCGATACCTGTTCTGACCCTCCTTCTCGCTTGTCCCTCTTTTGGCTAGCAAGGTAACCTGCATGTTTCCGCCTGAGAACTGCTGTATTGTTGCAGGTTGCGGTTGTAATGGGAAACTGCACTGCTGGTGGCGCGTATGTGCCTGCAATGGCTGATGAAAGTGTGATAGTGCAAAGAACAGGCACTATATTCCTAGCAGGACCCCCGTTAGTGAAGGCCGCAACAGGAGAGGAAGTCAGTGCGGAGGATCTGGGTGGTGCTGATCTTCACTGCAGGTATTTCTTGTTTCCTGCTCCGAACATCATAGTCAGATGATTACCTCTCATACTTCATATTCTGGAAGTCCTGGGTTTGTAATTTGGCCTGAGCATCAACTATCTAGACTGAAGTTTTCATGGTTTGTCTTAGTCCGTCCATGCATATTATTTTTTTGTGCATAGAAATGAAGGTATTGTACAAGTTATATTTTTGCAATTAAAGAAG